CAGAGTATAGAAACTTTTCGCTCGATCATCGAATGACGGCCTAAGAGTCTACTACGTAAGTATTACAATGAATCACCTATACTCAGTTTCTAACGTGAGTAATTTTTTTTACAGCGGGTCTTAGCAGTATATGATATATTAGTCGATAGCCGCAATGTAAGGGACAAACCAGGTTCTATCAATGTACAAGTAGTTCTATTGTAGGGTAGCCACTAATGTAAAGTTAAGAGGAAGTTATTGGAATGGCTAGAAACTATTAACGGTTTGTTTAGTGCTTTCCATTTTTCCAGTCTACTTTGCTAATAGACTAGTGTTATGTACCGTTGGAACGCCCTTTATTTGCTATCCAGTAGTCTTGCCTAGGTGGAAACTTATATGGATCTTGAGTTTTGAAATATATGTGCCTTTATTCGAAATGTGACGACCACGTCGTTTCGTAAAATAAGAAACGCATTTAAAAAAGTGATTATGAATAAGTGAATACGAAAATCAAGCCAAAGATTAAAAATTAATAAAGAGCCCAACAGGAGCCTGCGAAATTCTTTGGCACAAATAAAAAGACTCAGAAACAATCAATGCCATTGAACAATATAATAAACTAACGATAAGCATAAGAGATGTGAATCTATCTGGTCATATTTCACTTACTTTTTAAGATTTTTGTGTTCTTCCAACTTGCTCTCCAGTCAACTTCTTAATCGTTTCAAGTTCAAATAGTTCAATAGTTTCAAACAAGATCAAATTCGACCTCGTACTAGTTTTCGTATTTTAAAATAATGGCGTAAAAAAAATGTAGGTCTATTGGTAAACCCAAGCCGCATGTCCAATTTCTTAATTCCGATAAAACGATGACAACGTTCCGATCGGCCTAATTTGCTAGTTAGTTAAACCTATTTTAAGTTTGCCGAAATTAAATCGTATTACATTCACACGATATGTAATCATAGTTGATTAATCACCACTTTCCACGATGCAACAATCCGCACATACAAATAGCGTTTTGGGGGTCTATCAACGAATTAGACGCAGCGTCACGCATTGACGATATATCAATTTTGGACTGTGCTTAATGAAATCAGTTTTGTCAAATATGCGTAACATAAGATCATCTTGTGGACAGCAATGCTTGCCGTTACGTTCTACATGCTCAAAGGAAGTAATAACGTTCGATAACTTTTTTCACGTAACTTAGGCGTACCTAGAAAATATCCGGTCGGATTCATTATGTTAAATAAATAACTGGCCAAAGTCAAGCCCTTCAGATCTTGCCTTCCTAGAAGTCCTACAATAAAAACTCCAGCAGCTCTAGTTAAGTCGCATAAAAAGGTCCGCAGTAATACGATGACCGCAGAAAAGTTGTCGCTCGGCGGGAAATTAAGGTCGTCCGTATCATTACACATATCTTTAAGCGCTTCATTAACGATTTCATGCTAGTGGACTTTTTCTTCCCGAACTGGTCGAAAGAACCACTTGCCGTCCATGACGGAAGTGCATATTTTGCATGTTTTTGCGAGCACTACCTCATCTGCATAGGCGGATTGGGACTTTTGAATTAAGTTGACCCATCGGCAATGGTTGGCTCCATATAAAGAGGGTCTCAAAATATCACGAGTCAAATTTTGCTGTTTGAAGCTTTGGTAGTCACAGAGTTTTGTATCAACATTGAGTTTTCAATTAGCTCCTCGGTAAACGCATAATGGTAAAAATAAGTTGATTCGTTTAGCCAGATTAAGCAAGTGTATCACCAGGTTGTCAAAGAGAGGTGTGTGTATATGTATATACATATGGCTCGCACAGGATATATGCCTGACATCGTCTTATGTCAAAAACATAGCCTTTCTTTAGCTGAGTAGTTGCAACAAAAATACAACGTTCGCACGGCACTAGATCAACGCAAACGTTTATAATATTTGCAAAAATACTGTTATAAATAGGAAGTGAAGGTATTATTTAGTAGACCTACTTGAGACATACCCTTTGGGCGCTCCATCGATGTGCCGCTATAGGTGTGCCCTACTGTGTCGGATTATTTCGTATCCTACTAAGTGTTGTTTGTTGTCTGCTACCGCTGTGGCGCGTCCAGCAACGTTCCTATACAAAGTAACAAAACACCGCTAAACTTATACACGATTTAAGGTGTTCTACTTGGTATTTGCGAATGCACGCCCTAGTATGAGCCTGTTCTTCAAGGCACAATAGTTTTCATCGTCGTTACTATTGTTACGTAATTTTTTCTTCTGAATTTAATTCACTGATCTTTGTTCTTTCTCGGTGAATCAACAGTCATTCGATATTTTGCCTTTCTCTTAACTTCAAATCATAGTCTAGGTAGCGAAGCTATTGGAACTCAATACACAACACAAGAATTACGATGTGCTCGACATAGGTTGACTGAATAAGCTCTGCACCGTTGAGCGCTCTACTTGCGAGGTGAGATATGTGAAGATTTCTGGGGGTCCTGTATGCGTGGGTATCAAACTTGATTTCTTAGTTAAGCCAACAAGGAGATCATACACACTGGCACGCATCGCCGTCTGGTCGGCAATATTCCCACGCCTCATGCTATATTTAGGAAACTATCCCTCCTCCAGTGTCCGGTCTTGAACTCGACATCATCAAGCGTCTCCATGCCGACTGACCTACAACAATCTGCTTGTTGGGGGAAAATCCGTTTTCTAAATCTTCCCCCAATTCAATCTAACTTCAATGACAGCTGCCCTTTAACCACCTTACGGTCTGCCCAAGACCAAAACGAAATAAAAAAACACACCTATTATGGTGAAAGTTTTCTGCTTCGTTTCGCTTGGATTGGTAGTCATTTTTTCACACACTTTCCTTCCAATATGTGGGTCACTCTTTGTTGATGTGTAATACCGTCCTCCACCGCGAAGAGTTACAACTAGCTATGCCCTTCGATGTTATGTAAAAAGCGGCCAAAGAAGGCAAAACAACCCCTAAGAATTAACCACAAAGTAACAGTAGAAGCCGATTTTAGTAAAGACGCAATGGATTACATTGGAGCTATCCATTGAAATTACCCGTCTGCTGATAGAACCAACAAAAGGTGATGGGAATTTTATATATAGCTCCAATAAGCAGAAACGTAAAACGTGCGTCTTGGTTCGCTTCATTAAAGGCTCAACCGCGATTAGTTTCTAAAGTAAATGATTTTGGCTTTGCCGTCAACTGGCAACGCCGACGGCCATTTAACATTTACAAAAATGTTACCAAACACCCTACACACCGCATGTAAGACGAAGTCGTCATTGACCGCTTAACAAAGGAAAAAAATCAACAGCACATTACTTCAGTAAAAGCACTATACACCACTAAATACTGGATAATAGTAATATTATAGATAGACACTCCAATTCGATAAGACGTACACACATTTCCTGTTACCACAATACGGTGCAAAGCGCTAGAGAATCAGCGCATTAAACACTATTACGCTATTATTATTAATTTAAGCGTCTTCGGCTAAACAACAAACAAACAGCTAAATCTGCCTATATATCATTCACTTTTCCAACATGTGGTATTATTTTTTGCTCTATAGATTGTTTAAAGACACGGGACGAACGCACCCTGCACCCTCAGAGATTCGCTATAAATGACTATTAAAAAACGAGAGAAGTTCGTGCATTTCTTGTATGCTGTAAGGAAAGTGTGAATTGAAGAGCCATGAATAACTTAAACTCTGTTAAGCGCCAGCAGGGCGGATGCAACTTTGTATGGCAACGGTGCTGATCGCAGAAACGCCAAATCCGAGAACTGGATTTAGAAAGTAATAGATTCACTCAGAGTTTCTACTGCATGCTCTATTTGAAGCAGTGTAACTTATATGACGGGGACAAGCGTGGTCTAACTTGGTTGAAAATTAACGTATCGTAGCGTTCTGTACAACAGTGCCTTAGCTCGGATCAGAGAAGGTTGTTATAGGTTGTTAAGACAGCTACAGAATTATTTTAGGATGTACGACTAAGAACACTAAGTAGCTGTTGTGATGGGCATGTTGTCTTATTAGCTTTGAATCATTTGAAAATTTACCAAAATCTTTCAGTGTACACGATACTTATGCTCTAATGTGTAACTAGTCACGGTATTAGTTCGGAGCGTAAATTAGTGTTACGTCGTTGCATGAATGATCTAATTAAAGGTAAGTGGATGTTAAGGTTGCTAACTGAGATTCGTAAACGAGTGCAAATATTCTTAAGAGCTTAACATAATATGAAGTTGTATAAAAATTGCGAAATTACGGTAGTGTTATTGAAGAATTGAGTGACGTCCAAACTCATGTCTGCCACTCGATGAAATTTCTTGAAATAAAATTGCACTCCAATATATAATCGACAAAGAATAATTTATGTCGTCAACCGATCAATATTCCTTCTTCTCTACCGACACTGACCCTTGTCGGGCCTTTAGGTTCGGAACACGTCGTTCGTTATTAGGCAGGCTATCCTCGTTCGTGCGCGACGTCGATGCACAGAAGTCTGAAGTCAAACGACCTTCAGCCTGCATGCAGTACATCTGCTCGCTAGCCCTTTCCCTTCGCGTCTGCATGGGCATCATTGTTGGCATCGTACTCCTTCTCCGATCATTGAGGTAAGCACAGGCCCCTCTATAGGTGGGTCCCTTTCTCATCGTGAGTCGCTGCTGCTTTCCCACCGTGAGCCGCCGTCTACAGGCCTCTCTTGTACGACATGAAACGATGAATGTGTTTGGCCTACCGATCGTCGTATAGTTTTGGCGGAATATCGCCAAGGAAAGGGATAGCAAAACATCAAAGTTGCGTAAGCTAGGAAACAGCAAGCGTTCAAAGGAGGAAGTCGAGGAGCAAGGGATGGCGGCCAAGGCGCTCGGCGAGTGAGTTTAATCAGAGAGGGCTGTAAGAAAACAAAGAGTAGGAGTAGTCGTAGGTGATAGAAGACGACGCTGATGTGATGCCTGTCACACACCGCGCTCAACAGTTTTATTATTGCCAACAAGTTGCATCCTAGATCTTCCTATTTCTCACTGCTATAACAGCGCCATTGGTCACACTCAGCCCACTCAGCTGCTCTACTTTGTGGCGCCTGCCGACAATGCTAGCGTGGCGCTTTTGCAGTGGTCGTACTGGGCGATCGTGATGATGACGCGTTGTGTTGCCGACTCTGCTGCTGCCGCCGACGACGCTTGCCTCTTTGCTTGAATCGGGTCTATCTCCGCCGACTACGGACCGCATACATACCTCTTGCCGTCTGCTAGATGGCGCTGCTGCAACCGGTACTTGTGGAAGCACGTGTCTGACCGCCGCTCAGTGCTCATTAGCGAAGTTACCGCCAATATTGCCTGCCCCTTTCGCTATCTGTCTGTTGTTTATACTGTTCGTGGTGCCATTTCTGGTTGTCGTCCCGCTAGTCACCTAGACAATATTCTAGAAGGAAGATTCATGGTAGGCCTGTGTGTCTACGCACGTGTGTGTGTGCTGTTTGTCCTCGCTCTTAGCTCTTTCATGCTGGTTAACCTGTATTAGCACCAATAGCAGTGCTCGGAATAGCAAGAGTCGCCAAAGACGTCGGCGGTTGTTCGCGCTGATGCTGCAGACCACTCGAATATTGTTGAATATTGCCTCAGCCCTCTTGCATTTGTCTGCTGCAGGACCGCTGCTGTATAAAGCAGTGCCCATCGCTACTAGCAATGATAGTACGAGCATATCCATAGCTACAGTCTCAACCGCCAGCGTAGACGTTGCAGCTACTGAGAGCGCGCAGTCGCTTCAAGGGCGCGCCTCCGTGCCTGTTCGCTTGCTTTAGGAGTGAATCTATTTCTGTATGTGCCTAAATGTGTCTCAGGCTGGCAGAGTTGTCGTGTGTGCCTTCAAAAGTGGCGAATGAGCCGGTAGATAGAGACGCAAGAAGAAGCTAGAAAGAAAACGTTAAAGACCAACGGAAGACCAAGACCACGATCGCGAATACGAACCAGTAGTATCCTGGCTGCGTTGCCGTTGCCAGAGTGGTAGAAGACAGAAACGCTGTGGGTGCTTGGTCACTAAATTCTGTTCTACGATAGCTCAACGAAGCCAAAAACAGTAATTGGGTTGCTGTTAGCTAGCATCGCAGTGGATGGTCGCCACAACAGGGAACTTAGTGCGCTAACATTGACTCTATCTATTGCTATCCCCGCCGCCACCATCACGTCTACCTCTAATCACCTGTGCTGGTGACAAAAGGAGCAGTGCGTAAACGGTGTATTGCATGTACATATACGTTGCTGGAGGCGTTCCAGTAGTAGGTGATGTTGGAATAACGCTACTGGGGCCTTCGTCAGGCCGCTCACGCTGAGAGAAACACAAACGTGGCTTGCTTTCGGATAGCCAGCGCTGAAATACCAGCCAATGTGTGGCTGTAGTAGCTATTGCTGATCAGACGCGCAGACGTTTAAAGAATTAGGCGGAAGAAGTTACTGGCATCACAGTGTTATCATCATTAGGTAGAACACAAGACAGAGCGTTCGTAACTTATGTACTGGTAAGTAATACAAAATCATAGCATTTGAGAGACGACAGCTGTTCATATA